CTGTCCTGAGCTCTGCTCTGTGCAGGCGCTTGGTAAGCACCTCACCTGCATTATCTGTAGCCCTCAAGGGGGTGGGGGTCTTAGAAGTAAAGTGACTTGCCTAAGATCACACTGCTGTAACAAGTGGCCAAGAATCCAGCAGAACTAGGACTCTTAAGAGACAAAGCATCCTATTAGAAGCTGACCCATTCCTTGGACTTAGACCTAGGAAGGCACAGAAGCCCAGAGAAGGCAAATCCCTTGCCTAGGTCACACAGCCTAGCTTCAGAGCTGAGACTTGAATGCAGATTTGGAGCTTCCCAAGCCACGTAGGGGACTGAACTTGAGGACTCTGGTTTATTCCCATCACCCTCCCGCCCTCCTCACCCCCAACCTTTCTTATATGACGTGTGACATCCTTCACTCCCTCCCCCTGGGCACGCCCTCCTCCTCCAGTTTCCATGGCAGCACATCTCCCCATCCTCCTCCAGCTTCCTGGCAACTTCTCAGTTTCCACAGTGGCTCCTGAGCCTAGAAGGATCGATCCCTAGGCTAGGCCCACAGTCTCTTCTCTCTCATTACTACCCCTGGAGGCTCAGCTACCTTCCTTCTAGGTCTCAAGCTCTGACCTTGCACTGCCGCTGCACTTTTAAATAACAATGACTTACCATGTGTTAAGAGCTCAGTTATGTGCAGGGCCCTATACAGCAGGTTCCCAAATAACACTCAACATTGCACTCAACATTGCTTCATTATAATGTTGATGAGAAAAAAAATATTTCCTAGCTGGGGCCACTGTCTGTGTGGGGGTTTTCTGGGTGCTCTGGCTTCCTCCCATATCCCAAAGATGAGCACATGAGGTGAACTGGCGTGTCTATACTGTCTGAGCGTGTGTGATGTGACCTGTGATAGAACACCCTGTCCAGGCCGGGTCCCGTCTTGCTCCCAGGGCTGCCTGGAGGGCCTCTGGCCACCTGGGACCTTGAACTAGAATAAGTGATTTGGAAAACAATTATCTTACTTGCTTTTACTCTTTCTTAAATGTATGTCTAGCTTAAATTGATTTCAATGTTTAATATGAGTAGTGTGTTGGGTCCCTGTTTAGAAGCTGTGTGATGTCTTTGTGACCAGAAATATCCCATAGGAACTTAACTCTTGCTTAGATCAATTAGCCTATGTAAAACAGTTTTGTTATATATCATATCACTTAAAGTTGCACTCTCCAAGGAACTATAGATAATGTTAAGGGAGGGCTTTCTGTACATTAACTCGTTAAATCCTCACAGTCCCATGAAGGAAGTTCATTCTAAATTTTTTTTTTTTAATTCTCACCCAAGAACATTTTTTTTTTTTTTCATTGCTGAGAGATGAGGGTAAGAGAGAAGCACCAATTGGCTGCCACCCATTCATGCCAGGACTGGGAATCATATGTACCCAGACCGGGGATTGAAACCAGAACCCAGGCATGTGCCCTGACCAGGAACCGAACCCTCAAACTTTCGGCTATGGGACGACACTCCAACCAACTGAACCACACCGGCTAGGGCAGAAGTTCATTTTACAGATGAGGAAGCTGAGGCACAGAGAGGAAAAGCCAAGATCCAACTCTAGCCTCAACCACTACTTCTGTTACAAGAGATACGAAATCGTAGGATAGTTTGAAACCAGAGGCAAACACTTCCTTCCCTCCCACCTCCCGAAGAGAGAGGAATGGAAATTTTGAGGGAAATCAGACCTACTCTAGGTTTGAGAACACTGTAATGCTCTAGAATCACACTGTCAACTTGGAGTGTTAAAATGCATCATGTGCAGTACATTTTAAAATGTGAAGAGCTGGAGGGTGCAAAAGGAACAAAAGTTCATAGAAAATTGCCCCTTCCTTCAGGTTTTTCCATTTGGTTTTAAGTCTCCAAAAAGCTCATCCCAGCGTTCCAGCTACCACGGCTCTTCTACCTCAGTGATGTCTGGAGTTCACCATTCAGTTCCTGGGAACGTGGATCTCAGTGGTCCACAGCCCTGAGTTCCGCCTCCACTAACAGGTTCTGTGGCTTATGGGTGAGTGGCTTGACCTTTCTGAGCCCTACTCCTGGTCTAAAATAAGGGTAATAGCCCCACCTTCACTCCCCTGCCACATCCCCGGAGGGAACGTCATCAGAAACGCCCAGTTAGGTCCCTGCTCCAGCTGCACACAGCTTCCCAGGTCTGCCAGGCACTTGACCATTCCCTGCTTTTGCACACGCCCTTCCCTCTTCCTGGTGACCGGCTCCTTGTCATCCATTAAGGCCCTCTGACCCTTTTCCACCTCTTCTGGAGTAGCTCCAAATGTGTTTCAGTAAAAAGCTAGAAAAGGCACTTCCCTGGGACACCCGCCCTGGGGCTCCCTAGCACTGCACACCTCACAGGGAAATGCAATGTTCTGTTTATGCTTTGTCCCCGAGAACAGGCTTGAACTTTCTGAGAGCAGGGCTGTACCTGATTCACTCCCAAGTCCTGGTGCCCAGCGTGCACACGGTGTGGCACCAAGTACATTTCAACACAAATTTGCTTTACCTTGAATGCATGTGGCCTGGACCCAGCCCCTCTGACCCCAGGGCAAACTCAAGTATGAGAAGTGGTGAAAGCGAGCCAGTCTGTTATGGCCACAGAAAATAGCAGCGAGCGGACCTGGGGCAGCCCTGTTCTAGGAAGGGATGGAGGGGACACAGTTCTTGCAAGGAAAATAAACAGACCTGGTTCCAACGTCACATCCTTCAGGAGCCTTCCTTGATTCCTAAATTGTCCGCTTCCTCTGACATCTCCCCAAAGCATTTGCAGCAGGGGTCCCAGGGGATGAGCAGTGCCCAGGAGTGTTCCCACCTTGCTGATACCCACCCCCACTCAGACACAGAGGTCTCTGTGGTCATGGGTCTCTAGGGTCACTGGGATGGCGAAGGCGATCTAGGCGAGCTGGGACCCCAGGTGCAGGTAGCTTAGCAGGCCGGGCCCGAGTGCTGGGCACAGCCCCACTCCTTCCCAGGCCGCTGGAGGGGTCTTTCCCGGAGGAAGAAAATTCCCAGGCCCTGCAGCTTCCAGGTACCAGGGGGGCTGTTCTTTGCCCACTAAGGGATGGCACCCCTCCCCATAATGTGCCCAGACCCCATCTTGGTGCCTAAGCCTCCACCCCTCTCAGCCCCTGCTGCAGTGACAGCTTCCTGGAGAGGGGAATGGCTTTTGTTCCCAGGAAACGACTGTCAAAGGGAGAAGAGGTACATTGTTTCTTTTTTTCTTTTCCTTTTTGCTTGAGACAAAGCCGTCAATTTCTTTCCATCTGTCCCAAAAAGGGAAGATTAAATTTGTTTTTACAAGGATGTCAGAACACTGCTTCAATAGGGAGTTGGGGGTATGACAGGCTGGGTCTGTGAGGAAGGGGAGAGAGGTGGGGTGGGGTGACAGATGAAACAAGGGGAGGCACAGGGACCAAGGACAGACCCTCATATTGGAGCGAGCAAATATCTGAGCTTGCCTAAATAAAATGACAAACCAATGAAAAGAAATCCTTCTCTGCCTAGCTCTAGGTGGACTCTCCGCCCCCAGCTGTTTGAGGGGACAGCTGGGGCAGGTGGGGGTGGGGGAGGCAGAGGGGCCCACGCACCGCCATTAGCACTAGTTACAGAAGCCTTCCTCCCCCCAGTTCCTCCAGAGTCAGGTCCCCAAGTGGGCAGTTCCCGCTCACTGGAAACACTGGACACAGTGCGTGCAGCCAGATGTTGGGACGAGGGAGAGGATTTCTCAGAGGTTCTTCTCAGGAAAGCCTGCACGGGGGCTTCCAATAGATGCCCCGCCTAGTCCCAGGGGCACTTACCCTCCACGGCGCTCTAACCCACGGTCCTCTGTCCTCCAGCACCTGGGCCAGGAAAGCCAGAGCCCTAGGGACATCCCCTTCCAAAAAGCATCTGTCCCCTGGCTTCAGGTCCTAACCTCAAAGCAGAAACAACCCCCCCACACACACTTCCTGCCTCAGCCCACGCACCACCAGCTCGTGGTACAGAGACCAACCCGCAGCTTTGGTTTTGGAACTGAAGCCCCCGGACCTCCTTACTCCTTTTGAGCCGCATTAGGGACTCAGGACTGAGGGGTCTACGCCAACTGAGGCTCTGTTCCAGTCTCCTGTCCTGGGGCCACCCACCCTGCTCCAGTGTCCTGTCCCACCCCCACTGAGATGCAGTGCTGGAGACACTAATTCCATGCTGAGGGCACCCCTTCCCGTTCCAGCGAAATGCCTGTCAAGGAGCGAAAAGGTATACATATATTTCTCTCCCTATTTTCTTTTCATTTATGAAGGTGTCAAGTTGGACCTGGGCCTTGGCAAGCCCGGCCTTGAGCCCCACCTCCTGCTGGAACCCAGGGCTGGGACTCTGCCCCAAAGCTGACGCTGCTAGCCTCTGCACACAGGCCCTTTCTCTGGGGCCCAATCTTGAGCGGCAGCCACACCTCGCTGCCCTGTCCCTGTGACTCGCCAGAGACCAGTCCCCTCCTCATTACGCAAGAGACCCAATCTTGCAGCACAACTCTCAAGCCACAGTCCCCACCACTGCCCCTCCCGGGTCCTGGGCCCAGGATCTTCAGGTCTCAGCTGGTATCCCTACTGGCAAGCCCGGCTCAAGGTTAGAACTTGAAGCTGTCCCAAGGTGGAGTCCCGGCCCCACTGTAGTGGCCCGGCGTATGGACCAGTTCTAGCCTACTCTCTAAAGCCGCTAGCTCCTCCTCCCCGCCTCCTAACCCAGAGCCCTGGACCAAGGGCTCAGTCTAGAGGCACCGCCCCACCATCCTGCCCTCTGACCCGCCTCACAGGTCCACCCACAGCAGGGGTCCCATCTCTTGGACCCTGCCTCACCTCAAGCCCAGCTCCGATTTCCAAAATAGAGGCCCCCTTATGCCCCCTCCCTTTGGCCCCTTTCCGCGTCGCGGCCCTCGCCCCCATAAGAACTCGGTGTGACGCCTGGTCACTCCGTAGGGGCGCGCAGTGGGCCGGCCCAGCCTGGTCAGGCGGCAGCGCCTCCAGGACCGTCGGACGGGGTGCAGGCGGTGACCCGTTCGCGGACCGTAGCTTCGCGGGCACGGCTGAAGCTGCCGGGCTCCGGGCGGCCGCAGGGCGAGCGGCAGAGCTGGCGGAAGCAGCGCTTGAAGTTCTCGTCGAGGAAGGCGTAGAGCAGGGGGTTGAGGCTGCTGTTGGCATAGCCGAGCGCGATGCACAGGTGTAGCGCGGCCACCACGAGCGGATCGCGGCGGTTGATGTCCACCAGCGTCCAGACGATGACGAAGATGTGGATGGGTGCCCAGCACACCACGAAGGCGCCCACCACCACCAGCACCATGCGCGTGATGCGCCGCAGGCTGCGGTCCTTCTCCTTGGAGCCGGAGAGCAGGCGCACACTGCGCAGGCGCAGCAGCATGAGGCCGTAGCACACGGTGATGATGAGGATGGGCACCACAAAGGCGAAGAGGAACACGCAGATCTTGGTGACCGTGTCCCAGTACCAGCTGGGGCTGGGGAACTGCAGCATGCACACCACTGCCCCGTCTGGGTTGAGGAAACAGAGAAAGACAGAGGGGGTAAGGGACTTGGGGGCCTAAGGGGCTCTGCCTGCCTGCTCACCGCGCCCTACCGTCCCCCACCCTCCATCCCCCTCAACTTGTTTCAAGTCCCACTGCTCCTTCTGGCCTTTGCTCAAGGTGATTCCTCTACCTGGAAAATCCTCCTTTACTTTTGCACTTGGTGAACTCTTACTCATCCTTCAATACCCCAGAAGGATTGATTGACCCTAATATAGAAGGTCTTCCTATATTCTCTCCTAGTCCCTTTATAAGACTCCAGTCCATAAGCAACACTAATGGTATAATTTAGCCCAAAACCACTAAATCCCAATCATTGTGAGCATTCAAAACAGCCCATACATTTCCAAAGTAGCTTCAATGGGGACAATATTGCTAACTAATAGAGAGCCTGAGTTAAGAGGAGGACTCAGGTCCAACTAGCTGTGTGGTGAAATTATTCAAACTTCAAGGGCTTCCTTAAAGTGGGACTAATAACAGTACCTAAACCTCAAAGGGTTGTTGTGAGGATTCAGAGGGCCAAGGCATGTAGACCATTTGGCACAGTGTGGTTTGAGCTCCTGGTGCATTCACAGGGTAGAGGGGCAGGTACGTGTGGGGGTCCAGGGGTCAGGGCTAGGGCCGGAGAGGCAAATCTCAGCTTCATAGCAAAAACTTCCTGACTGCCAGACTTGTCCAGAGAGAAGAGGGGCACCCGGGATGGAATGAACTCCCTGTTCCTAGAGCGCAGGCTTGGGCTGCGTGAGCACCTTGCAGGATGTGGCGAGATGCAGACACGGGGCTGAAGCTGGCCCGAGAGACTCCGCAGGTCTTTTCGGATTCTGGAACCTGAGGAGCTACACAGTGGACTTGGAGCCTGAGAGTCGTGAGAAGCAGCCTGGGGACCCACACACAGAGTGAACCCAGGACATCAGGCTGTCAGGACCCACAGCCAGGGCAGAGGCCAAGGACTTCGCCGCACAGATGGTAGAGCCAGGCCCAGGGAAGAACAGCACTTGTCCAAGGTCACACAGCAAGCGGCATACTCGTGCTGACGGCACACACTAGGGAAGTGGGGTGTGCGTGTGTGTGTGTGGGTGTGTGGAGTGCGTTAGACCATCTGGCCTGGCCCCCAGCAGGGCTGCAGTTAATGGCCCGTAAACCGAAGGCTGACAGTGAGGAATGGGGCCAGGCTGCTGAGTCAAGACCAAGAGCTCAGAGACTTTATAAGGGCTCTACCCTTGTGAGAGTCAGTGGTGGCCAAGAAGCCTCCCACCAAGCCTGTTCCCCTCTCCCAGCACAGGACTGATGATCTGCAAACCTTCACAGCAGGGGCCAAAGGAGCCACGGATACGGGGGCAGGAGCCTTGGTTTCTAGGCCAAATTCCACCAAATGTCTGGCTGTGTGACCCTAAGTAAACCATCTATCTGACTCCTCTGATTCTCAGCTGTCTTACAGTCAAATGGAGGTAGGAGTCCTGCCTTGTCTATCTCATAGGCTTAATCATTCTAATAGCTGCTGTTTATTGGGTCTTGGCAGTGAGTCAGGACCTGTCCTTGGTATTTAACGCATAGAGCCTCACTTAGTTTTCTCAATACGCCATGATAATATAGTGTGGCCCAGATAGGTTAGTGACCAGTGGCTTTGGCACCCTGCCGAACTACCTTCCCCACTTCTTTACATCAAGTTGGGGTCATGTGACCAGCTATCACTGAGAAGAGATGAGCCATAACATTTAAAAATGGTTGTGCTTTCTCACCATTCCCTGTCCATATTCATCTGTTGGCCAGATGCCAGCAGTGGAGGACTCCAAAACCATCATGTGGAGCCTGGGTCCCTGAATGATTGTGTGGCATAGAGACCCTCCTCTTCTTGCTCATATTGAACTGTAATATGAGTGAGAAATAAACTTCTACTGTGTTAAGCCACTGAGCAGCTACCCCACCTGACATAGCTAGTTCCTATGCTAATAATTACCATTTTACTCTGAGGAAATGCACCTGTCATTCTCTGAAGGCCAATCTCTAGGACTTGCTTTGGTCATGTGGGCCAATGATTTCAAATTGAAGTGGAAGGGAGTTGAGATAGGACCAAAGACCTTGTGGCCTCCACTGCTCACTGATCAGTGACACCCTCACCCCACTGGCCATCCATCTCCCTAAAGGTCAGTCATCCACACACTTCTGGCCAGCGGCCACATGCCCATAGATCAGCCATCCGTAATCCCATTCACGATTTTTGTCCAGCAATCCACAAGACCACTGACCAGTCATTCATCCTCACTGCCGTCAACCATTCACATTCCTCATTGGCCAGCCATTCACATTCCCATTGGTGGACTATCCATACTCCCACTGGCCAGTAATCCACACTTTCATTGATCAGCAATCCACACCTTCACCCTGGGAAGTGGCCTGCAAACCCACAGAGGCCTGTGTGCTGTCTCTCCTATGGTCACTTACCCCGGGGACGGGTCACAGCCATGATCATGATGGGTACACCAACACCCGAGGCTAGGACCCAGATGCAGATGTTGATCAGCTTGGCCTTGGCGGGGGTGCGGAAATCCAGGGCCTTGACAGGGTGGCAGACAGCAATATAGCGGTCGACACTCATCATCGTGAGTGTGAAGATGCTAGTGAACATATTGTAGTAGTCAATGGACAGCACAACCTTGCAGAGCAGTTCTCCAAAGGGCCACGTCTCCATCAGGTACTTAGCACTCTGGAAGGGCAGCGTGCTGGTGGCCAATGCATCTGCCAAAGCCAGGTTGAAGATGTAGATGTTGGTGGCTGTCTTCATCTTAGTGTACCTTAAAAGGAAGAACATGGGTACAGGGAATAAGCAGCATGAACAGTGGGTACAAAATAGGCAGGGGGAGGTTAAGAACAGTATAGGAAATGGTGAAGCCAAAGGACTTATATGTACGACCGACCCACGGACGTGAACTATGGGGGCGGGGGGGGGGATACTGGGGGAGGGGCAGTGCAGGGTGGATGGGAATAAAGGGGAGGAAAAAAATGGAACAACTGTAATGGCATAATCAATAAAATATATATTAAAAAAGAAAGAGCATGTGTAACTGTTCCATTTCACAGATTTGTTTCACAGGAGACTCAGGGAGGTGAAATGGCTGGTCCAAGATCACACAAAAGGTCAGGGGCAGAGGTGGGACTGGAACACTGACCTATCTGCTTCAGCATCATTCCTTTCCACTGTAACAGAAAAGCGTTTCTCTGGCTGGGGATAACTTTGGCAGAAAGTATTTTAGGAAAAACTCTTATCTTTTAAAAAATAAAACTAAGCTCCAGAGGAATATAGCTGAGTGATTCTGGGCTAGTAACTTGAACTCTCTAAAGCATTGGTGTCCACAACTGTAAAAAGAGAGGTGACACTTTTACCAACTTCACTGGATTGTTATGAAATATAATGAGATGATACAGCACTTAGCCCAGAGCCCAGAGCATGGTAAGTGCTCAGTATATTATAGCTACTATTATTCTTCATATAAAAGAATGAAGCTGGGGGCTAGACCAGAGTGATCTGACCCTGTGCCACCGACCTGGCCTTCTAAGAATGTGACTGGGCTGCTTTGAGGGAGGGGTCCATGGCAGAATGACTGGGGCCTTAGACCTCCTGGGGTGTCCTCCCTGGCAGGCCAGGGCTCCCAGTCCTTCCTGCGATCCTGTCCAGACCATCTTGCTCCCATGCAGCTGGGTTCACCCAGCTGTCAGGAAGGGGAGCAGGTGACAGTGTCAGACATCAGAGCATGTGCCAGGTGTCCAAGCCAGATGTCTGCAACCAAGCCCTGCACCTGAGTCTCTCCGACATCCCTTCATGTCCTGTGCTGCTGCACGGCTGCCTGCACCACCGCTGGCGCCTTGTCTGGCCAACACTTACAGTCATGGCCCCTTCGGAACCAGGGCCTGGGCCGGGCACCAAGTAGCCTGGAGGAGGCTGCATACACTGACACAGTCCCAGTGCAGCGTGATCATCGCAGCAACACCCAGGTACACTGAGGCAAGGGTGAGGACTGCTTTCATGGCCCTGGAATGATCGGAGGAACCCAGAGAAGAGTCGTATGAGTGACTCCTCAAATTTCAGAGCAGAAGAGTCCTGAGAGGTTGAGGGAAAGGGATTTTATGAAAGTGTGGTCCAAGGACTTCCCTCAGAATCATGGGAAGAACCTGTAAGAAATGCAGATTCTTGGACCCAACCCCAGTCCTTCCAGATCTTAATCTCTGGAAATCATCTTTAACAAGAACTGCCCCCTGCAAGTGATTCTTATGGACCCGAAAGTTTGAAAAACACCATGTGTAGTCTAAAGCCCATATTGAGGAGAGATGGGGAAACTGAGCCAAGGTCACACAGCGACAGTGGCAGAGCAAGTCAGGAACTTGAATGCTCTCTCTCCACTCTACCCCTCTTGGGTGGAACCCACCCCACGCGCACACGTGCACACACGCACACACGCACACGCGCGCGCGCACACACGCACCATGCAGTGCCCCAGGCACCCAGGATGAACGCTCTCAAGGTGTTTTGAATGACTGAACAAACTTTATCAGCTAAGGCTGTTCCTCCATGAAGTCAATGATTTGTTTGGTTTTTTAAAAAAAGATATTGACTCACTCTTTGTCCTCCAGGGCCAGCATCTGTCCCACTCCCTCCCAAAATAGCTGTCATTTGCCCTGCGGCTAGAGAAACAAAAAGTTTCGCTCGGAGAGAGCAGAACTGCTTGGGAAGTCTGTCTCCAGCGGGCGGGGCGGGGATCACAGCTGTGTGGGAGGTCGTCTCAACCCCACAGCTGACTCGTCTAATTTTGCTTCTTTACGCAGAACAATTAGAGGCTGTTCTTCGCCTGCTATTTTGATTTGTGAAGGATCCTTCAATTCCCAGAGGGGGCTGGGATGCTGGGAAGTGGGTGATGAAGCTGCTGTAGTTGATCCAGGCAGGGCTGAGAGGCCCAGCTCGGATGGCCAGCCAGAGTCCCAGGAGCTCCCTTCCCACGGGGGCCCGGCTCCGCAGCTAACCGGTGCCAAGCCCTGTCTTATTGGTCTCCTCAGGCAAATCATGCCTCTCTGCTGCTCTCAAGGCCCAAGTGGCTTCCCAAAGTTCTCCCCACATTTCGCAAACTGGCCCCAACTCCCTCTAGGGCCTCAGCTCCCAGAACCTTCTCCCTAATGGCAGTCTCCCACCCCATGGCCTCTCCCCCATTCCTTGGACACAACCAGCCCACTTCCACCTCAAGGCCCCTGGACAGCGGCTCTGTCTTCCTGAGAGCTTCCAACCCCCCACGCCCACCCCACCCCCACCGCTGAATTCTGTATGGTCTTCTCCTTCACTTAACTCAGGACTCTATTCAAATGTCACCTCCTCAGAGAGGCTGCCTTAAGGTACCCCTCCTCATCCCATCACTCTCTAACCCCTAACACTCACCTTTTTTAAAAAAGATTTTATTTATTTATTTTTGAGAGAGGGGAAGGGAGAGAGAAGAGAGGGAGAGAAACATTGACGTGTGAGAGAACCATCGCTCTATGGCCTCTCACACGCCCCCAACCAGAGACCTGGCCCGCAACCCAGGCACATGCCCTGATCAGGGAATAGAACTGGCAACCTTTTGGTTTGCAGCCCGGTGCTCAATCCACCAGCCAAGGCTCATTTTTCTTTATAGCACAAACTTCTGCCTGCCCTAATATTTATCTTCTTTTCTCTCTCTGCCTCTCTCACTCATGTAAACTCCCTGAAGTCAGGGGACTTTGTCCGTTTTGCTCCCTGCTCTATCATCGGCCCTGCCCCCAGTGCCTGGTAAACAGCAAGCTCTCGATGGCCATTTGTTGTGCAGTTCAGGTCTCATGAGCTGCCTCGGGGACCATCACAGCAGCCCCTCCGCCCCACCATTCATCATCCGTAAGTGGGGGTGCTCACAATAAAAGGCAGCTTCCCTCAGGGCACTCTTGCGCTTACAAGCCTTCTGCGGCTCCCCACTGCCACCTGGACAAAATCCAAACTCCTCAGACCGACACTGCACCTGCGCGGGCTCCTTCCCCACGGTGCCTTCCGGCCACATCTGTAGTTCCCCGGACATTCGATCTCGCATACCCTCTCCTAAGAGACAGCCACTGTAATGGTATGATGGGAAGCCTTCCAAAGCACATACATGCATAGAGCTTTTTATAAAATTGTATTTCTGCCAATGTAATACCTCTACATAGTATGAAAAGTCACACAGAACTATAATTAAAACAGGTGCCCCTCTGCCCCACCCTCCCTCATGCCTCTGTCCTGCTTCCCAAAGGTCACAACTTTTCATGTTTTTATTCTCCTAGTGATTATCTCCATAACTCTAAACAATATGCTTAAATGGCTATTTCTTTGCTATCTATCTATCTATCTATTTATTTATTTGAGAGAGAGGGAAAAGGAGGGAGAAAGAGAAGGAGAAGGAGAGAAACATCAATGGGTTGCTTTCACACGCCGCCAACACAGGACCTGGCCTGCAACCCAGGCGTGTGCCCTGACCAGGAATTGAACTGGCAACCTTTGGGTTTGCGGGATGACGCCCAACCCCCTGAGCCACATCAGTCAGGGTTTAAATGGCTATTTCTTAATGTAACAATTTTAGACAGTAATGGTTGAAGTTTGTATTCGGTTAAAGCAGACTATACAGCAGTAACAAACAATCCCAAAATCGGGTAGCTTAACACAATAAAAGTTTCTGTCTCACCCTTGCAGAGTCCATTCGATGCCTCCAGGACTAAATTCCACGAGGCAACCGAGACTGCTGCAATCTTGCGGCTCTGCCTGAGGCCTTCTTGCTCACCACGAGGGAGAAGAGACAGCTGCAGGGTCATCTAAGCTCTGGGCGGGTTGGGACAGAGCACTTTCACCTGAAGCTGACTGAGGAGAACTAGTCATGTGGCCCCAACCAACAAGGGGCTGAGAAGCACAGTCTTTCATGTATCCAGAGGCAGGGACAACCAGATGTTACTGAACACTAGTCATGTCCCCCCGCAACTCCCTATTAGGGTAGATGAGGATTAATTCTCTTATACCACCCAACTCCACATCCCTTCTCCATCCTCCCAATATAGTTTTACCACAATTCTTAAATTTTTAGTTAAATTGATAATCAGGTTTATACTCTTTTGGGGGGGGGGGGGGTAGTTACATTCTTATGACAACTTTATAGATACTGTCCACCACTGAGCCACATGGTATGCTATAATGATATTTATTTTCTATTCCTGATTTTTTTCCCCTGGAATTAATAACTGCCTCCTTTTTTTCATTAGCTGCGTACATATTGCTAAATCTCCTCAAACACCCCAGCCTTTTCCAGGCAGGAGAAAGAGAAGGAGAAGGAGAGAAACATCAATCGGTTGCCTTTCACACGTCGCCAACATAGGACCTGGCCTGCAACCCAGTTCCTATTTGCAGAGAGCAGAAGAAAATACGAAATCTCCCAGTTCCTTTTGTTTTCCTGGCGATCCACCCCCTGGAGCCACCCTCCTCCCCGTTCCGCCTGGGAGCGGTGGGTCTCCAGACCAGCTGTTCGCCTGTCCTCCTGTGTTACAGCACCTGTTCCATGGCTCGCGAGTCTTTTCTATCTTGCTTTATGCCCTCATTTTGGTGGGGCACTTCCTTAGTCACTTCCTAAGAAAGGACACATAGAAAATAAAATTTTTACTCTTGCGGATCTGACAGTGTCCTTCTTGTATCCTCACTTCTGATTTCTTTGACTGTATAAACAGTAGCAGGTTGGAAATTGTGTTCCATCAGAAATTTTGAAGGCCTGGTTCCCTCGTCTTC